TAATTTTTACTTAACAAAACGCATTATCTCTTATGCGCATGCGCGAAATTTGACACTGCTGCTGTATAGCACAAATGGGTTAATTAGGATGATTACGCGTAGTTTCTGGCATTTTTGAGGAAAGACTCTTAAGTCAAACGAAATTTTCAAGTTACCCTTGATGCTAACCAACCTTATCCTCCCCTATGCCATCATAGGAGCAATAGTTGCCTTTGATAGCATACTTTTGATAGCATACTTTTGATAGCATACTTTTGATAGCATACTTTTGATAGCATACTTTTGATAGCATACTTTTGATAGCATACTTTTGATAGCATACTTTTGATAGCATACTTTTGATAGCATACTTTTGATAGCATACTTTTGATAGCATACTTTTGATAGCATACTTTTGATAGCATACTTTTGCTTTTTTTTAAATCAAAATAACTAATAAAAAAATAAAACTGATGAAAATGTATCCATATCAAAACTTTTGTTCTTGGTCTTCAGGATACTGAATAATGAAGCTTCAAAGTTAAGTATGCTAGCATAGGCGCCTTTCCCCTAAATTTGCAAACTTTTTATTCAGTAGTCATTACTCATTTTTCATCAAAAAGTATGACATATTTGGTATGTATGGAAAGATTATTTTAACCACTATTATAATCTGGTAAAAGTAATGCGACTATAACAAATCGTCAAGCGTAGTTTTATTTAGAAAAGATGCAATTTTCAACATAAAGCACCACGGGGCTTGGCTATAAATAAGTCTATGGATTTGATTTTTTCATAAAAGCACGTATTGGTGTTTATGCTCAATGAATGTAACTTGACATTTCTAATCAGACATTATTTGGAAAAATTATCCATGAAAAACCATTTTTTTATGAAAACTCAAGTTACTTTTTTCAATATCACACCTAAATGAGTATGTTTAACAATAATGTCACGTTATATTTAGATAACCTATGGCAGTGTTAATATTTCTCAATTTCTCAAATCACCAACATCCTTTGACTAGCTAAACACTTGTTAAGTTTTATCTTAAAAATATCCTTCTATCATTTAAAACACATACTATTGTTGATAATAAACATAACCTTTGCAAAATATAAAATTTAGAGTTTAGCATATGAAAATTACAAAAAATACTTGTGATTATTTTATAAAAATATTTACATTAGTTTTAACAAAATCTGTTAATTATGTTTTTTTTATTTAACTTTTTAATTGTTATAAAATGTTTAGCATATTAAATGTGAAAAAATATTTTTTAGTGTAAATTTTTACCTCTCATTTAAAAAAAGGTGTTATCGATATTGATTTAATCATGTGGCCAAGTCATTTTAGCATAAATAATCATTATTTTTAGCCCCATTTAAAAAACTGTTTTCGGTAATTAGTATCATTTTTTTACCATAAATACCACTTAAAATACTCATGGTTTCATCGTTATGGAATCGTAGTATTGTATTATAATAACTTTTCGTAAGGAATGTGAAACCACTAATAAAAGCATACGACATTTAAATTAAACTTTAAAACCTCAAAAAATACGTGTTAAACTTGAGTAAAACTGTCCATAATATACACGTTTTTTTGGTTACGCCTGGATCGTGACATACACATGTCTATACAGATTTTAATTCAAATGTGCCGGATGGGTAATCACAGCACCATTTTTTTGCGCTTTAAATTGCCTTAAACAAGAAACTATTTTATAAAATTTAATATTAGGTGCTGGTAATTCTATGCTTTATTGTTTTTTACTTATATGATATTTTTGATAAAATAAAAATGATATTCTACAATTTACTCTACTAATTTTTACAATATTTCATTTGATTAATAATATGCAAAAAAATTTGACATTTCCCTTTTCACAAAAAGTTTGTAACAATTAATACTAGTTAGTACAAGTAAGTATCATTCTTTCACTGGGAACAAGTTAAGAGCTATATCAAACTCACACAAGAAATTAAGCGCAGAAGAATACAAGCAAATAGAAACAAATTAGAAAGGTTATTTTCATAAGTGTGAAACTATACTTGAGTACCAAAATATACTCATTTATGTGAAGGCAAAATTTAAACAAATAACAAGGTGCTCAAACTAAGAAAGGTGTTTACTCAAACAACTATTTAGCTTAGTTTAATTATCTTATACTGCAGACTTAGGTCTGCATTAAACGTCACTGTTTAAAACACCAAACATAGATTTAAACATATCAAAAATAGATTTAGGAGGCATTATTGACTAAAGCATAAACATAAATCTATTTATTTGGTGGTTCAGATAAGTAACTAAGAAAGAAGTTAAATGAAACTTGTGTATCTTTATTGTGAAATTTTCGTATCTTTTTGTGAAACTTGTTTATATTATTTTAAAATTAAGATGCTTTTTCAAAATTTACCCCCGTCCAAGGAAGCTTAAAAATCCAATTTAAATATTGTGTATGATATTAATTAAAAAATGTTTTAAAACCTGAAAATAAGTTTTATTTTAAAGTAATATTATTTTATTATTAGGATTTTTAAAAATTAAGGTTTAATTTTTTAATGTTTAAATATGTATAAACACAGTGCAGTAATGTTTAAATATGTATAAATACAATGCCTCCAAAAAAAAATATGAAAAAAGATTTTGTGGGTTATTTAAAGCATTATTAATTATTATAAAATAGAAACTAAAGAAAATATTGAATTCATTTTTGATTTATTTCCGAAAAATTTTTTTCATACAAATATTGCATCTTGAATTAAAACATATAATAAAAGTTATCATTAAAAAAAAAATGCAATATTTAAAAAAAGAATTGTTGCATCGAAAATAAACATCTAAACTAGTATCCCCTCCTTACTTTTTTGTTTGTTATACATTATTTTTGCATCAATTTACAAGATTGTTTTTCTATCTAGTTTTTGCTTTAAGTATTTATAGATCTTATTCAAACCGTAACTAATTTTTTATCCACTCAAACCGAAATGGATTCGATTTTATTCAAACCAGGTGAACAAGCTGGCCAGGGCAATAAATCTTTTTTGTTCATCCATGCTTTGACTAAACAAGCTGTGTGGGCAGGCGCCTTATCATGTTAAAACAGCTACTCTTCGTTTTAATCAACAGACGTGTGTCCTGATGGAATTATTTATTTCTTTAGCATTGGGTTTCCGTTGGACGGACCAACCGTGTGTGAGTTAGTTGGAGTTAAAAATGCTTTGTTTGTAAAAAAATATTTCAACACAAGTAAATTTGTACTATTCTTTCTATTGAACTTTAAACATTATACAGATTAATTAATCTGTATAATACTTAAATAAAAATACAATTGCATATGTCTAAAAGAATAAAAAAGAAAGATAGTAATTATTGCTGAAAATTAAAGTTATATCTACTACATAGTTAAAACTCTGAATGCCAACTTTTCTGTATGATTTTTTTTTAGGGTGAACGTAAGTACTATTAAGCTTTTAAAGACCAGGAGAGCAGCAGTTGCGGCGTGGTTAGAACGCTTGCTTTAAAAGCTAGAGTCCATTGTTCGAAATTAGCTCAATAGCAAGTCAAAGTAAGGCTAACATAGTAAAATATGCATTATGCAAGCGCATTCACAAATGTAGCACTTAGTTTAGCCATCAATTTAAGCTATACAACAACCAACAAGCGCCTACAATTTAGAACAAAGAGTAGGCCAACGTCGAGTATATTTTGAAAGGCGCAATAGACTTTTTTTGCAAAACAGCATCATTTGAAATAAGTACTCCGAACTTAAGTATATACTTAAGTTCGGAGTACTTATGTCAAATGTTTGTGCAAATTCTAAATTTTCACATCTGAAGCATTAAAAAATCCTACCTACGCTATTTGCGTAAAGGCAAAGTAGTTTATAGGACTTTAATAACATTGCAGGATACAAATCAATAAAGTACGATAAAATTTATGATAACTACTGTATATATTTTCAAATAATCAAATTTTTCTAATATGAATAAAATAGCTCTCAACAGATTTAATCTTCCAAACGTAAACCGCAAATTTTGCCAACGTAACTGCAAACGTATACTGCAAAATTCGCAAAAAAAAAAATTAAAGTATGGAAGTAAGATGCTAGTTACTATAGTTTATAGTAAAATTAACGTGTAGAGTAAGAGTGTAGTTGCTTTACTCTATAGTAAAATTAACGAATAAAGTAGGATGCTAGTTGCTATAGTCAATAGTATAAACATGTATATTAGTGATTATAACTCATTTTGGACTTTGCATGACACGCTGCATTGTTTTGCATTGACCTCATATCACGTATAAAACGTGTTTGTTTATTCAAACTCTAAAATGCGTTTTTCATTTAAAATTAAAAACAAATAAAGCTTGGCAGCCCAACATTATATTAAGAATGTGTACAATAATCGATAATGTACTGATAAACACAGAAACAGAAAAACAATAACTATTAGTTTTTTTTTTTTTCAAAAAATTCTTTTCTCATTTGTAACGAAAACTAGAATTAGAATCTTGTAAGTGTATAATTAAAAATTATTGATCGCGGAATTAAATGACTTATAGCGGTTAATTCGCATTAAAAATTTGAAAGTGGGTTTATAAAAAAAGTTAAAAAAAAATTTGATGTTAAGATTTGATTTTATATTTGATTTTTAAAAAAGATTTTGATTTTATCTTAACTAAAGTTTTTTTATAATAACTTTCTCTTTTTTTAAAACCTTTAAAAAAGTTATCACGCATAAGAACTTTAAGATTAAATGCTCTCCAAAAGAAGTTCAGACAGTCTCAGACCATATAGTTTTTGTTTTGTTTTGTTTTAACACACGTGAGCTTAGCTTTTGTATAAAAGGAATTTTATTTATATGTAAAAAAGTCACATGATATAAGGTTTTGTAGTCAAGTCTATACTGAAAACGTCCAGACGGATCGCGACGATCTTTGACGTAAAAGGTGAGCGAAAGTTTAAATCCGATATCAATAATAACGCAAACTTGCGATTTTTTTTAGTTTCAGTCTAGAAAGGTTATTTAAAAGGTTAAATCAAGGTCATCTATATATTACTTGAATAATCCTCCTAAATAATAACTGAGAGTTAATTTAGGTCAATGTTTTTGTTTTTAATAACTGTATACTTTTGAATCAGCTATATTATAGCATACGGAATTATAGTAAGAAGTGTTAATACAATGTTATTACATGTGACAACACATCATATTAAAGCTTAAAATAGTTTTGATGGAGTAGTCAATGCACATATTTAGGTAGCTTTAGTAAGTAATTATAGAATTAACAACATATTTACATTTTCTCACTCGAGAAAAGGTAAATATTTAGATTTATTTAATAATTTTTTTAAATATGGTTTCTTTTTTTTATTATATTTTTTTAATTGTTTTTTTCCACTTTATGGCTTATTTTATAATTATTTTTATGGTTATAACTAATTTTATGGTTATTTATAATGGAATAAATACAAGTTATAACCATTTGTTATAATACAAAATATTAAGTAGCAAGTAGAATTTTCCTAAAGTTTTATTTGCTTTATTTTCTTTGCTATTTTTTTCTTCTCTTCTCTCTTGCTAATAATAACACATTCTGATGCTGTTCAGATTATTTAAAAAAGTCTTTTATAAAGCCAATGTTTCTTTCAGCACAATCTTTAGTTACATTAAATCATTTAACAAAAGTTTTTTAAAATCTATATGATTCCATTTTAATAAAGTATAAGAATGAACCCAAGTTTTGACTTTATTCATATTTCCTAGTATAAATATAAGTCAGCTATAAGCAGTCCAAAAGCTGTCTTATAAAATTAAACTAGATTAAGTTTTTCCAATTTTTTTTGGCTCTGAAATCAGCATTGAAATTAATGATTTCAAAATCTAATACTTATGAAAAAAAAAAAACTATCAGTGTGAATCAACTAGCAAAAGTAAAGCTATACTTGGAAAATTATACCGTAAATAATTATGAAAACTTTTAATCAAAGCATTTACAACATTGGTATTAAAAAACATATCCTTAAGAAAATATACTGCATTAAAAGTATAAAATCATTATATATAACATATGGGCTGCTTCTAAAGCCTAGCAAACAGCAACAACAAAAGCACATGATTCTATATCTTTCTTTTTTTTTTTTAAAGGAAGTTTATATTAGTGGATTTCTAGTGAAAAAATACACAAGGCATCAGCCATAAATCTTGGTTTATGACAAATTCTAATTTGTAGATTTAAAATTCCTTAATCTTTTTAGATTTGATGCCAACTCAAAAATTCAAATATTTTGCTTGGTGATTATAGTCATTTCTAGAAAAAATTCAAATCTCCAATAAATACTTAGCATAATTTTTTGCTAAGGCTAAGATATAAAGCTTGGTTATCAATTTTAAGCTTGCTCCAATCATACTTAATAAGTTCTGGAGTTCTTGAGTTTATAGATTCATGGGAAGTTTGCCAAGCCTTTAGAATGCCAAGTACTTTGGGGTTTCTTTGAACCCTTATTTAACTTTATTTGTAGACTGTGTTGCATAAGTTATATGGAATTCATATGTGTGTTGTCAACTCATAAACTAAAAGACATTTGTTCAAAGTTTTTAAATATTTTAAATAAAAACATCTAAATTTCTCTAAATCTTTAATAATCTTGAATCTACCTCTAGCTATTATAAACATTTATCAAGCACTAATAGCTAAGTATATAAATAATTCTCAGTTTAATTTAACTACCTCATTTTTTCTTCAGAAAAATAAAAAGAATTAAAAAGAAATTGCTTTTTTACATAACTACGTGAGTAATTTGCCTTTGGTTATTAACTGGACATAACTTTTAAAAAAATGAAAGTCGCTAAGAAACTTAATTTTAAAACAACGTTGCAAAATTTTATAACAATTGAATGTATATAAGATTTGCTTTTTTGAAAGTTAAAGCGTTTTTAAATATCCATTCAGCGTAAGGTTAATTTTTTTTTTTGGCAATTAAGAGTAAACTGCTTTTAATAATAAATGAACAAAAGTAAAAAAAAATCAGTCCTTATAACTCTCATGCAAATTTAATCTTTAAATAAATGAGCTTTTGATCTTTAGCTTGATATTTTAGTTAACATAAGGAAAAGGAAAAAATGAAGTATAATCTTTTTCAGACAGTTTTTTTTCCTTTCAATATTCTTTTTAAAATAATAAAAAAAAAAGGCTTTAATAACTTAATAAAAGTTTTATTTAGATCTGTTTAAAACAACCCATAGTAAATGTAATTTATTTATTCAAATGTAATTTTTTAAATTATTCTTAATAATTAAAAATATATTTTGTTTTAAATATGTTCTTAAAAATATAATATGGTTTTTAATCAAAATAATAAAATATTTTTTAAATCATGTTTACTGTAATTATCTCTTTAATTATCTTTAATTTAAAAGGCGCCTTAAAATCACTTTAAAAATTATAACCTTTAGTAAAAGTTAAATGAACAATTTTACTAATATTTAAATCAAAATTTTAAATTTAAAATATTTGAAAATAAGTTTATTAAATGCTTATGTTTTTATTCAAATAGTTTATTAAATACGTTTATTAAATGCTTATCGAATTTGTTTATTAAATGCTTATGTTTTTAATTCAAATACAAGGACGTAAAACTACTTTGTTAATTTTACAAATATTACGCGATATAATATATGTAAATATATTATCTAGTGTAAATATTGATTAAAAATTGTTTAAAATATTTTTATTATTTTAAATTAAATTTACTAAAATATAGTTAATAACTGTTTAAAATACTTTAAACAATTTTCAATAATTATTTACTGATGGATTGGTATATGCAACAAAAACATTTATTAAAATCTTAGATAAAATAGTTTTCTTTTAGCTAAAGTAACATCGTCCACCAGTAAATTCATGTATTCAAAAAATGCCTTTAAATCAACACCTTATTATAGGATAAAACTGAACAAGATAAACATAAATGATTATTAAGAAAATAATGATTAAAAGTTATTGTTGCGGCACCCGTTTAACTAGAGGAGAATGAGGGGGAGGAGGAAATCAATTTATTTCTTATCTAGAAATAAATAAAAAGTCCAGTTTAACTGTTGTTATATAGGACGTCTGGATAAAGTTGTAGGCAAGCTTGTAAACCTTGAATGTTAATCCTATTATTGGTGGTATCACAGACATAAAACTTTAAAAATGTTATTGCCTATGTGTTTACTAGGATATTTGTTATTAAAATTTAGCATAAATAATATTTACATTACTTTTAAAATAATATCTTTTATTTTGTAATATAATATTATTTTTATATTATATAAAAATATGTTTTTATTTTTTTTAATATTTGTTTATAATTTATTTTAAAATTATTTGAGTTTTTAATCATTTAATTGCTTTTTGCATTTTGTTTTTTTATTGGAGATGTGTTTTTTTAACTTCCAATTTCTTTGTCTTTTTTTTTACTTTTTCCTTGTAAATTTTTTCTTCTTTTTTACTTTTTCAAAATATTTTTTATAAAAGAGATTTTTTTTTAAAAGTTTAGTTTACTACATTTTAGTTTAGTAAACTACTAGTTTACAACATTTAATAAAACTTTTTTTTTTTTCTTATCATAGAAAACAATTACAGAGATGATAAAGAACTCCTTATTGTTTTTGGTAAATTGTTTATTTTGCAGATTTCAATTTATAGTATTGGAAAACAAGGGTGATAATTGTAAGTATTTGTTATTACTTTTTTTTATTATGTATTTTTTAAATTAACTTGTATGTGTATAGCTTTTTTTACAAGTTAAGATTAACATTATACATTTATTAAAAAACTAAAAAAATTACTATAAAAGGGTAACTACTATTACTCATACTCAGGCCTCAGTGGAAGTAAATGAGTGCCAGAATGTAGAAAAACTCTTTTAAAACAAACATGGTGAGTCATGCGAGCTTCTTCTCTAAACAGCTTTTAACAAGGCCTTTTGATTTTTGTGCAAGCTATCTGTTTATTCATTAAATAAATTAAATACAAAATTTTATACTCCTTACAAGCATATGTTAACTTTAATGGTGCAAGAAAAAATACATAAGGAACGCTGCTTATTGCAATGTAAAAAAATTCCTTAGATGAGCGTTTTCTTCCCTTTATTTAATAAATACTTTACTTATTTAATAAAAAAAATTTTGACAAAAAAAAAAAAAGAAAAGTTTTTACTGGCTATAAAAAATATTTTATATTTTCTTACTGCAATAGATAGCAAAGAAGTTTAAGAATTATTAGAACATTTTAAGATTCCATAATTAAAATGTTACTATAATTCCAATTTTTTTTAAGCAGATCTTTAATTGTTTAAGAAAATGATTTTTTATTTAACAATTAACATAACCATTTTTTTTATTTTAATCAAATTGAAACAGTTTTTTATAATTCACTATAATTAATATATAATATATATATATATATATATAACATTACAACATTCAAAAACATTGTTTTACCTTTTCAAATTTATTTTTAATATTTAAAATATTCAGTTACTAGCTGAGATCAGCCCCGTAAAAATACGGGTCTTTTTATATCTATTCCAAACTGAACATTTCTATACTTTTTCCTTATATAGCTTTCTTTTCTTTTCCTAGCTTTCTGGATCTGTAAAATACAGGTCTTTACCAATTTACATATCTATTTCTAGCCGAAAATTTCTATACCTATTCTTTATTTACTCCAATATTTTTAAGTAAAATAATTTATTCTGAAAAAAAAATTTAAGAGCAAAAAACTTAGCATGCGCACCTTTTCCACATATGTAGAGCTTATAAGAAGCTTATAGTTAGGTTTGTTTTTCTGCTAAATGCATTTCATTGATAGCGCAGTGGTTAAATACGCTGTCATCAGTGTTGTTTTGGAGGGTTTAAGACCTCCTCTTAGCGTAATAAATTTTGAAATTTTTTCTATCTTGCTTATATATTCATAGCAAAAAAATAAGAATATAGAAATTATAAGTTTATATAGAGATGGTTAAGTGCAACAAAGTTTTAAAAAAAATTAGTTTATATTAAAATGAAAAAATGATTTACATAACGTTTCTTTGCAAAAACCAACGTACTATAATAAAATTTTTAAGTGCTATAATAAAATTTTGAACTACAATTACTATATTCACTAAAATCAAAATTTTCACTATAATAAATTTTTTAAGCAATTATTTTTATTTTTTTTGGTTTAGTGACTTTTGTTAAGAGCTTTTAAATTTTGCGTCAAATTATCTCATTTTAAACATATTCGTTGTATCATCAATACTGCAGCTGTTTTTTAAAATGCTTCAAGGTTAAAAACATCGTTTTTGACTTTTTTACAAAATAAGCTAGTTTATATATCTACAAATACATATTTTTAAAGAGTTCTGAAAAAATTCATTAAAATTATTCGTTTCAAAAAATGTTTAACAACGAGTTAATTTTTAATAATTTTTTTTAAATTGCGTTTTTCTCGAAATACATAATATATTTTAGCGTTTTGAAAAACAGCTGCAGCATATATTTATAGTAAAAAAATAAATGTAGCAAAAAAAGCTTTTCATTGTCAAAAGAAAGTTTTAAATTTTTTTCTAGCTACAGGCTTTTCTTTTTTCTTTTTTTTTTGCCTCCACAGCAGCACCTTCTTGAGTAACAGGACTTTCTTATTTATTTAATATAGTATTTTCTTTATAAAGTTTCAGACAACTCTTTTTTCAGACCATCCGCAGCTTATTAGAACTAATTACCTGAGCACATTAATAACATAAGTGCCTCAATCATCATACATACGCAACAAAATTTTTTTCCGGTGATGTTTTTGTTTGTTGATGTTTTATGAAATTTTAGCTTTCTTAAAATCTTTTCTTTTTTTTTTTCAGTGATTTCGGCAATTGCTTTTTGCTAGCATGCATTTATTATTACAATTTAGTGAAAAAGAAAAAAAACTTACATATTTTTTTTTTATGCTCTTTCATATGAGATCATATGTTAGGAGCACTTAGGGATCCCTTTTAAGGACAAATCGGATGAGAGCAAACAGCAACGGCAGCAGTTAAGCACTTTTATCGTTGCTCAAAATAAAAATATTTGAAGTCGTGAGTTAAATGTCATTGTAGTCGGTCTTAATAAGTCTAGTACTGTAGACGATAAAAAGCTTGTTGAGGATTTTTTTATAGCAACAGGATTGGAGGATGCTACTGGTATCGTACGTGTTAACCGCCTCAAATTGAGCAAAAACAAAACAAAATTGTCAAACTCGAACATTATCCAGGTTTTGTTATCAAATCTTTCATCTCGAGCGGAAATACTCAAAAAATGCGCACACCACAAACAAGAGATATACAAGGGTGTCTATGTACGCAAAAACAGAATACCAGAGCAACAAACCGAGTTTAACACCACACGCTCCCAACTCAAAAAGCTTAACGACCAACTTGCCATTGCTAACATTCTCGATAATCCGTTTTGGAATATTATACATCGAAGAACAGGTCCCATCTGTTGAATTGTTGTCATCGAATCAACGTCCAATCAGTGCTACCTATTTTCATCCCCAGCCAGACTACGCAAGCCATACAGCCGCTCCTAACTCAGAAATCTCCACTGCCAACTAGATATCCTAGACCAATAACTAAAGCAAAAATAAAACCGATGCAATCTCACACTTCTAGAGTTTCACCTACCCATCTATGTAACTGGACAAACAACCCATGTTCACTCAACAATAAAAAACGCCAAGAGCTCTTTGCTAGACTATCAGCTCTACATAAACTCAGCCGGCCACACGTCATTTTTTTTGCGGAAACTTGGTTCACAGATTTATCAGACATTGCCGTACCTGGCTACCAACCACATCGCAAAGACAGAGATAATAGGGGCGGTGGAGTTGCAATTTACAAAAGATATCTTTTTTTTTTTTTTTTATTATCTTTGCTTCCAACAAGGCTGCAAGCAACCACTAATTAGTGTTGGAAGTTACTGGAAGAGAAAAGATGAAAATTGTAGAGCAAGATAACGATTGACAGACGACTTAAAAGATGGCAAATTATATGAATCAGGAAAGCAAGATGAAGGAAGCGAATTCCAAAGAACTGATGTTCGAGGAAAAAAACTAGACGAATAAAAGTTTTTGGAGCACTTAGGAACAGTAACAGAAAAAGGATGAGACTTAATTGAATGACGAGTAACACAAGAATGAGTTTTAGTAGATGGCACAAGAGACGCTAGCTCTTTCGAGCAGTGCCCATTATCGTATTTGTAGAAAAGAGAAAGAGAAGCAACATTACGATGATGTGACAGAGATTGAAGGTTGGCTGCAAGAGCAGGTCCAACTATGTTTACAATGCGTTTTTGCACCTTGTCTAAAAGAGAAAGGGCATCATTAGAAGATACGCCCCAGATATGGCAACAGTATTCTATACAAGGCCAGATTTGAGATTTAAAGAGATAGAGAATAGAATCCAGAGTAAGAAAGTGTCAAGCTCGATAAAGAGAAGCAACTTTAGCAGATGCTAATTTTGCAACAGATTTGATATAAGGTTTCCAAGAAAGATCAGAAGTAAGAGTTAATCCTAGAAGATGAAGGGTAGGAGACTCATCAAGTACATTACCGTTCATAAATATAGGAAGGTCTAAATTATTGCGATAATGATTGGCCAAAAAAATTGAGTTTTATCTGAATTAAAGTTCACCAGTTACTGTGAGCCCCATGCTGTAGCAGAAGTGAGATCCTTTTCAAGCTCAAATGCCCCCTGCAAGCAATCAGAGGGAGTTGGCTTATCGTGACAAGTATAAATGGTAGTATCATCAGCGAACAATGTCACCTTAGATGTGGAAGATCATTAATGTAAATTAAAAAGAGTATAGGGCCAAGGATTGAACCTTAAGGAACCCCTGAGGTTATTGTCAGCAAAGTTAGTTCTACTCAGCTCAACTCAACATCAATTGAGCAAATCTGGCGAGTAATAAAACTTGGTCAAAAATCATTTCTCCTTGACTGCTTATATCGTCCACATGATGAAAATGATCAAAATCTTACTCAGTGTATCACATCGATCACTACCGCTTAACAAATACTGCCTAATATAAACTGCTCTGCAATGCTACTATAGGGTGATTTTAATTTTAGCCATACATCTTATGAGCCTATTGAAGTTAACGGTGGCATTGCAACTGTTGCTCACGTGAGAAGTGAGCGTCAAGGCGACATCAGGTTCCAGAAGTGCCTTGATGAATGTCACTTAACTCAGCTTATCACATTCCCAACCTACCATAGTAGTCGACATGTCGAGCCTACTAGCATACTCAACCTTATTATAACAAATGAGCTAGACTATGTAATCTTCATTAAAGGGATCCCTAAGTGCTCCTAACATATGATCTTATATGAAAGAGCATAAAAAAAAAATAAGTTTTTTTTCTTTTTCGCTAAATTGTAATAATAAATGCATACTAACAAAAAGCAATTGCCGAAATCACTGAAAAAACAACTCCATTTTGATTTTATTTTTTTACCGTTGAAACTCGATTGTTAGTCGTTAAAAATCACGTTAGTACGTCACAACAATTTTAGAAAATCTACTTCGATTTTCAAGTAAAAAAAAGTCATGATTAAATAGTTAAGTTTTAATCAAGTTTTTTAAATTAGTTTTGCAAAAACAGTATAGTAGAATTCGGTTGAAAGACGTTGTTAAAAAAAAGTTATCAAGT